AGGTTTGTTGAATAGATTAAAACCTCTACATATGGGAGAAGTCAAAGGGTCAAGATAGGTTGTCATCTATCTGACAGAATCACAGTAACATCTGGAGTTCCTTAAGGAGGCCACACTTCTCCACTTCTTCTTAATATCTTCGTTAACGACATCACTTCCTGTTTCCTAAATAGCAAATGTCTAATGTTGACAGATGACTTGAAATTTTGGAAAGTTATAGACAGTTTAAAAGATCAAGCCTTGCTACAAGATGACTTAGATTACAAAATTGGTGCAATCAGAACAAACTCCACTTAAATGTAAAAAAATGTTGTTTTATAAGTTTTTTTCGTAAGTCAATAGAATTGGAACAAGCTATACCATTAATAATCAGCCACTAAATTATGTTTCTTCTATTCGGAATTTGGGTGTTATTTTCGATGAGAAGCTAACTTTCTGTGATCACATAAACTCTATTTCAAAAAAGGTATCTAAACTTCTTGGTTTCGTTACTAGGAATTGCAAGTATTTCTCCATTAATTCAACAAAATTAGTGTATTTTTGCTTAATTAGAACTATTTTGGAATACTCTTCAGTTATTTGGTCACCCTATTTTCAGAACAATATTGATACCATAGAAAGAGTCCAGCATAAATTTTTGAGATATTGTGCTTACCACGTCCACACTACTATTGAAAATCATGATTATTTCCATATCGAACAACAAATATCTTTACCCTCCCTTTAACTTAATTTTCTTAATTTTCCTTTAATTAACTTTAATTTTCCTCATCAAGCTCTAAGGTACCACAATGTTTTTAATATTCCTTTCCACAGAACAACCTATGGTATTTTATGTTGAATTTTGTTCTTGTTTATTGAATACTTTGTTTTTTTAGTATGCAACATTTTTAGTCTCATTTTTTTAAAGATTTTTAATATTGATTTTATATTATAAGTAATTCAAGTTTTGTAGCCTAACTGTGATATTGTATATTGTAATTTGAAATGTTAATGGGGTTATCCAGTGTATTAAATAAATAAATCGGTAACATCACTAGTCAAGTTTTTTTTACCGCGTATGTATTTGTATATGTTGTTATTATATTGAATTGATCGTCGACAAAAAATAGCCTGGAGAGCTGTAATGATGTGCTATTTTGTTTAGGTCCGATTTCTGGTCTTCAGTATATATTTTTAGGATGCTGATACAGATTACCTAAAAGACATTGTGCAGATCCTAGGTTTCCGAAAATTATCGAAGGTTTTGTTTCTTGTTTACGTAGCGTGTTAAGAGGTAAGTCGTCGTCATCGGAATGTGACTCTTCTGCACGCTTGTCTTGATTGTCGAAAACAACCTATACGTCTTTCTCGGCTGGCTTCCTGGTAAATGATCTATCGTTTTGACATCCTCGTCTCCTGAATCGAAATCTTTATTTTATTATTTGCATTGTCTGGAGGAAAAATAATAGTACCATCAGGAGGCGTTGGAATCTCTTCTGTCTCAAGTTCTGCAATTAACTCATACAATTTTAACGGTCTTCTAAATAAATAACCATTTTGTAGTGCTTATTACTACTGTCCTTTTAAAAGAAAAAAACAAAAATGGCCATCCAGAGGAAAGTAACTAAAAACTCAAACCGATATTTCCACTATAATTACACGTAAGTAAAATACTTACTTACTTAATCAGTAGACCCATTTGTACCTTTCGGTGTTGGGCCGTTTATAATACAATTCTTTACATTACAATATTTTATAATCTTCTGAGGTGTCCTAGCTCTTGACAAACTTTCTCCATTCCTTCCTATTGTATGCCAACTGAGTTGCTTCCTGCCAAGTCTTACCCTTACTCTGCAGTATCTGCGAGATGTCACTGTTCCATTCTTTAATGGGTCTTCCTCTTCTGTTCTTCCCTATTGGTTTGGCGTCCCACACTTTTACTTGTCTATCATTGTCCATCTGGGTTAGATGTCCGAACCATGCCAATTTTTTCTCCTTGATTGATTCGAGAATCGGTTTGATTTTTAGTCTTTCTCTTATTTCTTCATTTCTGATTCTATCAGTTCTTTTTACTCCGATCGTTCTTCTGAGGTATTTCATTTCTACTGCCTGAATTCTGCTTTAATGCCTTTTGTTTATTATCCAATTTTCTGCTCCATATGTCACTGTAGGTCTATATATTGTTTTGTATATTGTCATCTTGGTCTTTGTTGATATTTCTTTGTTATTAAGGAATCCTCTATTTAGTGCTTGGAATATTTTTCCTGTGTTTTCCATTCTATTGTTAAGATCGTCCTAGATGTCTCCTTTGTGGTTGATTACTGTTCCTAAGTATTTGTATGAATTTGTCTGTATTATTTTTTGTTGGTCTATCATTATTTCTAGTTGATCTTCCGTCCCTTGTTTCCTTGATATTTTCATTTTCTGTGTCTTCTCTTTGTTTACGTTTAAGTTATATTTGCTTGCTTCTAGGTTCCATTTCTCTAAGTTGTATTTCAGTTTTTCTGCTGTTTTCGCAATTAATACTATGTCGTCTGCAAATATACACATCTCAGCGTTTATCATTTGCATTCTGTTCCAACCGATGCAGTATTTCTTGAACGTTTTTTTACATTCTTTCACTATCTTGTGTATTACATTTATGAATAGCACTGGGCTGAGACTTCCTCCTTGTCTAACTCCTTGAGTTGTTTCAAATAATTCTGACTGCATATTTGACATTCTTACTGTGTTTGTTGTTTTCATGTATATACTCTTTGTTGCTTCTATCAGTTCTTCACTTACTTGCTTCTTTTTTAGTCTTTCCCATATATCTTTTCTTTTGACTGAGTCGAATGCTTTTTCCATGTCTATAAAGCTCAGATATACTTGTCTATTTTTCTTTAAGGCCTTTTCTATGACTTGTTGCATGGTGAATATATGGTCTTGTGTGTTGTGTCCTTTCCTGAATCCACTTTGTACATCCTCTAATTTATGTTCTATTTCTTTTCTGATTTTCCTTTCTATTATGGTTTCGTATACTTTTGCTGCTACACATAGTAGTGATATACCTCTATAGTTCGTACAGTCTCTTGTGTTTCCTTTCTTGTATATAGGTATAATTACTGCATTTGTCTATTCTCTGGGTATTACTTTTCTCTTCCATATTAGGTTATATATGTATAACAATTTTTCTTTTGCTTTTACTCCTATATATTTCATCATTTCTGGTGCTACTTCATCGCTTCCTGGTGCTTTTCCAATCTTTATCTTTCTTATTGCTTCTTCTAGTTCTTCTTTTTCTATAGTTTCTGGATTTTCCATGTTTCTCGTGTATACTCTCTTGATGTGGTTTTCGTTCTCCATTGTGTTCGCTTGATTTCCATTCAGTATCAGCTGGAAGTGTTCCTCCATCTTTCCATTATTGTCTTATCGTCTTTTATTATTGTTCCTTCCTTGTTCATTATTTGTTTTAGTTTCGTTTCTTTGTTGCTTCTTAGGGTTTTCAGTGTTCTATAAAATAATTTTACGTTTTCTGTGCTGTTTTCTTCCATTTTTTCTCGGAATTTTTCCCAACTTTTCTTTTTCTCTTTCTTAACTATCTCTTTAACTTTTGTTCTTTGTGTCTTATAATTTTCATATTTTGGTTGTGTCTTGTCTTTTATGTATTCTTTCCATAACTTCTTCTTTTCTTTTCTCTCTTTTCACTTCATCGTTCCACCAAGATGTACGTCTCCCTCTGTTGTTATTTCTTGTAGTTCCACATATTGATTTAGCTGTTTTTATCATCGCATTTTTAAATTTTCCCCATTCTTCTTCTATTGTTTCTGTTATTTCATGTTCATTGTCCATCACTTTCTCTAGTTCTTCTGAGTATCTTATCTTCGTTGTTTCTTCCCTTAGTTTATAAATTTTTATTATTTCTTTGTGTTTTTTGTTTATGTTCTCATTTCTTTTTATTGTAAGTAAAATAATGACTAGCAAATTATGTAAAACGCCCAAATTTGATCTGTAATTAAAAAAACTTACCTCCAATTAACAATATTTATGTTTAATTTAAAAACAAAACAATGCTATGTCGGTACATAAACAAACTTTTAAAGTGAGCCACTGATAAAATATCTTAATCCATATGTTTGACGGTAAATCCCACGGGCACTATCTATCAACGGTAAGTTTAAGTTATCAATATGACGGAAATATATCAATTGCCTTTTAAAAGGTCAGTAGTAGTATGTGGGTTAATAAATTTATCATTATTTTACACCAGCATCGATTATTACTTCATAATTTTCAAATCAAAATATTCCGAAAACGGTACACAGTATCGAGTTTTGCCAAGAGTACCATTTTGGTGTAAAATTGTATGATATTTAAGTTTAGGTAAAATTTTGATTAATATTAATTCTACCCTTAAAAAAGTTATGTTGAATAATACTTGGTACGAACTTTGTAACTAACGCCCTCTATGAGAGTCACATATAAAAACGTGTTTATGGGATGTCTTAGCTTACAAAGCATATTAGAATAATATTTCATTACAACGTTGTCAATAGATTCGGCAAAATCATAAAAAATATGTAGATTTTTTTCTTCAACGCCCTTTTCTTGAAAACGGATGGTGTTACAAAAAGTATTTACTTAGCAAATCCCAATTATTTTTCAGTTTTTACCTATCCTAGAGATGGCGTTATCTTTTTTTGAACCACCCTGTATATTATTCAAAACGATTAAAAACCGACACTTCGAACCTCTGTAACCCAGAATCAATTGAGTTTTGACGCAGTGATATCTTTTGATCAGCATTACCAAAGCTACCTCTCTGCAAAGTTTCAGCCAATTTAACTGAATCCACATTTACATATGAAAAATGCCGGGATCCTTTGTGCGATAGATCTTGTTTCTCTTTATTATATACGCCGCAGCCCGAGCGCCCGTTCTATAATAAGTGCTTTATTAACGATTGAATGCGTATTTATAACAGTAATTCTAGTAGTTTTATTACAAGGAGAGCTTTTTTTATACTAAAATAATTTCAGGAAGATCCACACAACCAAACTGACGATGCAGTGTTATTGGTGAACATTAAGGGATGCGGCTATCCACCCAGTGTGCTCTGTCTGAACTTCACGGAAACATACGGAGTCGAAGGTACTGAATTTCCTTGTTACCATTCCCGTCAGAACCGGACTGTTGTTCTTACGCATTACGAAAGGGATGAGCAGATTGCCATTATAATCCATTATTTTGCGGTGCCCTTTATAATAACTTTAGCCACATCAGTAGCGCTCTGCGTAATGCACTGTGACTGCCGGTGTCATCCCACGACTCACCACAAACGACCCAGACGCCCAAGGATCCAAGATCTGAGTGATGGCTCCATTAATATTGGGGTTGACCTCCGACATAATACCAGCTATCATTCTGACTTAGCCGCTATTAGGCCAACGTAAGGAATGTAATCGAAAGTAAATATAGAACAAAGAAATTGTTTTATAGTAAAATTGGGTTTTCTCCAAAAACTTATGCAGATTAGGCAGACTGGATATTTCTCCTACTGATTAGGACTAATATTTTTAGTTGTTTAAGTACAATTTAGATTTTTTTTTTAGTTTTTTTGACATATAGTTTATTATTGAGTATTTTGACATTGACAGCACTACCAATACAAACTGTTTTGTAATTGTGTGTAGGTAAAATATGCGGAAAGTCACCAGAGTTTCAGTTAAAATACATCACTTCTAAGTAATACTCTTTTTCCAATACTATTTTAGAGTCCATTTTATTTGGAACAAACTATTGTTCAACCAAACAATACTTATATTATATATATATATATATATATATATATATATATATATATATATATATATATATATATATATATATATATATAGACTCAAAAATCGCAATTCACTATATAGGAATCTTATTGAATTTTAAATTTACTTTAGTTTTTAGTTCAACTCCAAAATATTATTTTTCACTCTCAATAATTATCCATGTTTTAAAATTATATCATGCCCCTCAGTACAGCTCTGTTACATTTAGCTTTCATATTCATGTGATATTGTTTACGTTTGGGAATTTGAATTTAGACTGCACTCAAGCAAAATATTATAATATTATGCTCGGAGTGTTTACGAATAAGAGAAACCTTCGAAATAAATTTTACACGGGGTGAACTCGTATACTTTTGATCCACTGTTCCCTTCACCTGATCCACCTCCATATTCTTGATTCTCTGTACGTAGGATCCAATTCGTGAAGTGACTTTGTCCCACCTCTCTGTTGTAAAATGAAAAATTACGTTCAAAAAGTTAGTTTTCTAAAGTTTTTCTTAATCGTGGTAATTTAGGATAGGACTTGCCTACGAGAGTGTATGTTCACTTTAAACCAATATAGTATTTAGTTATAATGAACACATATAATATAAGTTCAATGACGCAGCATATAAATTTACAACTTTAAAAGACTGAGAGGTCGTCTTCGGTAAGAATAAGTTATTAGAAAATTCATACTTTCTATTGTTTAAAATTAATATTCTTTAGTAGTCTTGATTGTTCAAAGAGAGGTCTAATAATAATTAAAAAAAAAGAAAAAGTTAAATTAGCCTGTAAGTATATTATTAGTCTTCCAATAAAATACTCAAATTTAAATATAAGCTTTTTATTTAATTTATTTGATGTTTCTCAAAAAATCAGTTTTTGGGAATATTTACTATAATATGCACAAAGGGTTAGCATAGATAAAGAAAGCAAAATGTAAACTGAGTCAATTGCGAATTATCTAGCTCTCTCTCGCTATTTTTTTTATGAGATTGTCCCATCTGGTCGGTGTTCATCATCGATTTGTTTTAGAAAAGTCTTTGGAACTGTCTTCTTGTCGCATACCTTAATCAATGTTACGTATTCACTTCGTTGATATTCGTTATCAATTTAGGTTTCTCAAAATTCATCTTTAATACAGCTTTTTCCGACGGTCATTAATGTATGTCTTTATGTTTTAATCTTTGTTGCTACCCATTTCCGGCAAACGAGTATTATTAACTATTGATTATATAGCCAACTAGTATAGCATTACCAATCCTATGTTACAAAAGTTTTCAGAAAAATTTTATCAAAAAAAAATTAGTAATAATTGGCGTAGGATCTAGTTACAATTAAGAAATTTTCCTCTATTTTCGACTTTACGTTTAGACTTTGTAAAAATGTGTATAATTTTTGCTGCATATACGTTGTGTGCTTATACGTTTGAAAGAGTATTTAAATCCTGTCTGAACAATTCCCTAGATCCTCTTCAGCCACGTTTTTATGTATATTATAAAAATTTTGGTGTTTTACAATTCAATGTCATGTGTCAGTCTATTTGCGCCTGCAGATCCTCAGAACCGACAACCATTTTAACTGTGAAAGTCTTTAAAATGTTTTCAACGAAGTTTCTAAAACTTTCCTTTTTATTGTAAATTTTTGTGAGGTTTCTTCGCCTACTCGTACAGTCACTATTTGTTGTAAGTATAAGTCTCTGACTAGGCATAAATCATTGTCATCGATACAAGATTTCTTTAATATTTGAAGCAGTTTATGATATTGTACTTTATCGGATGCTGTGTTGAACTGAAGTATACACAGACATCGTAGTTTACGTTTCGAGAGTTTTGTATTAAAAATTATAGACTTATAGAAAATAATGCTCACGTTCCAAGTCCGCTTCTAAAACCAAACCAAACATTGCTAATATCAACTAATATAGACCCATACAGAAGCGCACATACATATAATTTTTTGGTATAGGTATATATGCAGTGACATGGCATAACAAGAACAAGCTTTTACTTCTATTCCGTCAACACCAGGGAGCGCTCATGTTGCGTAATTCTTTTAGATATAATTATTAGCCTTACATTTTTGTATTTTATGAAATTAGAGATCAAATCCTACTAACATGCACCATATTTTTTTCTGTCGAAAATAATATATTATTTTAACTTTTAATACTTTTTAATAAATGAATCTTTTTAGAACTACAAACAAAATTGTGATTAAAATTTTTAATTTAATTGTGTAGAAATCTACAAGTAATATGATTATGTTTTTGTAGTCGCCATCTACAGGAGTATTTTGAAGTATACCTACTGACTGTGGCCAAATCTCCAATTTGAAATGTGCTTCTATATGCGTCTATATGCTTTGCTAATATTTTCCTCAAGCTTTCTACATATAAGAGATTGGATAATTCTAAGTATTGTAAGTGTAGGGTTCATTAGGCTTATATTATACTTCTATCATTTTGGAGATCAATACACATTCAATTTTGACCATTTCAAGTGTATTTTCAGCAACGGAAAAATGGAAAAATATTACTAAATAAAATAAGAATAGATTACTTTTAAAAATCTGAAAAAGAATCCAATACTATATTAATTATCACCCTAGAGAATGATATAAAATCGGCATTTTTTCCCACGGTGTGTCTGATATTTATAATTTTCTTGTGGGCTCTTAAAAATTCAAATAAGGGCGCAAACGATTTAATGATAGTTTTTGTACATATCAATATTTGTTTTATCGATAATTAATTTATTAAATTTAATACTCATTCATTCATTCATTCAAGTATAAAATCAAAGGTTCTTTACACGTATATATAAATTTATGTAATCAGTCTTTGGAGAATAACCCAATAACTAAATGTATATTATTTTATAAATGTATATCTATATTTCTTGTTTAAAACATGAGTTATTGAGTCGCTGACGATATAGTTTATTTGATAATGTATCTAAAAGTTTATTACGTTGTAAAATTTTTGTTAAAAAGTATATTAAAGTATATTAAATTGAAGTTAATAAATTTGAACATATTTTATAATCTTTTTGCACAAATTTTTTGGGATTTTAAACTTTATCATGTTCTTTTATCAATAATGTATTTTCTAATTTCTAGAATTAACTCTAAATAAAGACGGTATATATATATATATATATATTATTATATATATATATATATATATATATATATAATCAATCAGCCAATCGCGTCCACTGCTGGACATAGGCCTCCCTCAGTTCTTTCCAGTGTTCTCTACACTGGGCCGCTTGTAGCCAGTTTCCCGCTACACGTTTAATGTCATCGGTCCATCTAGTCGGTGGTCGTCCTCGGCTTCTTTTATAATTTCTGGGCCTCCATTCCATAATACGTCTTGTCCACCGTCCATCTTGTGTTCTAGCTAAGTGCCCTGCCCAGTTCCACTTAAGCGTCGTGGTTCTTTCGATGACGTCTTGAACTCCTGATCTTCGCCTGATTTGTTTGTTGGTTTGTTATGTGGTCTCGAAGGCTCACATTCAGCATTGCACGTTCCATGGCTCGTTGTGTAACTCTAAGTTTATTCGCAGATTTTTGCGTGAGTGTTAAAGTCTCTGCTCCATAAGTTTGTACAGGTAAAACACATTGGTTATAAACCTTTCGCTTGAGACACATGGGAATTGAACTTTTTAGAATATGGCTTAATTTGCCAAATGCTGCCCATGTTAGACCTATTCGCCTCTGTATTTCATGTGTTTGATTGTCTCTGCTTATTTTGATTTCGTGTCCCAGATATTTGTAAGTGTCTGTTTGTTGTATGGTATTGTTGTATGTTGTATTGTCAATAGTTATATTTCCACTCATTACGAGATTTGTTATAATTTAGTTTTCTCAAAGTTTATCTTTAATCCTGCTCTTTCAGACAGACTTTTAAGCGAATATTATATATATAAATAATATATATTATATATATATATATTATAATATATTAATATATTATACAAGCAGGATAATAATAAAATAATTCTAACAGTGTATGACACAGAGGAAAATTTACAATTTGTGTATTTTTTTGTGTAATTTGAAGATATATTTTTAATTTCCATATTGCCAGACTATAGTATGAATCTAAGAAGGTATTCGTTGAAGTCTGACAGGCAGAGGTGGGGAAAATCTTTTTTCGACATCTAATGTCACCGAACTAGACACCCTGGCATTTTCTGGTCGAGCATAACACTAGGCCAGAAAACCCCAGGGTAGTGCCGGATTAATCATGATCCGGATAACATTTTAGACTAAAATTCCCACATCCAGTTACCTCTAGTGTAGTGGTCTTAGCACTCTATGAAAACATAAAAGTCCATGTATTAACCATCAACTTAAGACAAAAAATAACTATATTATATTAAAGAAAACTTACAAGTTAGCCATATCTATCACCATAAATCCTAGAAAATTAATTTAAAAAAATGGCTATTGCCAAAAGAAAACAAAAGAAAGAAAATATTTCCATGAGACTATGATCTAATTCTGGTGTATACCGGTTCCTGGTTTTCGAGAAAACAAGATTTAAGATCCTCGATTTAATTTCATCCTCTGTCCCCCTGCTCCTTTTTCTTGATCACACTAAAGATCAGACAGTGAACAGC